TGCATGCAAACAGACGTGCTCACATTAATCCATACTCATTCACACGGCAGGTGGCTGTGTGTGTGTGTGTGTGTGTGTGTGTGTGTGTGATTTAACACATTGTTCAGATGTTATGAACATTCTGTCTTTCAGCATGTTTGTGCATGTATTTTAGGCTTCCACTACAGCTTCTTTTTAAATTCTCTGACTATCAAGACTAAGTAAATATTTTTTCAGTATATTAATGAGATCAATATGTACATGAACTAAAGGCATTTTAATGTTGAAAAACCATGCACATTTACGAGCAATAAGAAAGACTGAGGATGGCCACGTGCAGAGGGAAAGGTTATCAAACAGTGTGGATGTAATTTGACGCTTTGTGGGAGCTCAAGATGTTTTCTTCATGTTGCTGATGAAGAAAATGAGTAACTGTGACCTTTGGGGTGAGTTTGTAATATGTGGGAGTCTGCATCATCATTTCCTCTGAATGATTCTTTTCACAACAACAGTCAGCCTTATAACGAACCTGAAGAAAAGTGTTGGATGGATTTAAAAGACAAGAAATACAGTGGTCCAGACAAAAAAACAGGATGTTTCACTGAAAGCAAAGCTGACACAAGCAGCACAAGACCGTCACCATGACCTACCCGTGTCACCTGGCTGGAGCCATTCCCAGCTAACACTGGGCAAGAGGCAGGGTGTGCACCCTGGACAGGTTACCAGTCTATCACAGGGCTGACCCTTAGAGACAAACAACCACACACACCCACATTCATCCCTACGGCCAATTCAGAGCCACCAGTCAACCTAAGCTGCGTGTCTTTAGACTGTGGGAGGAAGTCGGAGTATCCGGAGAGAACCCACATAGGCACAGGGAGAACATGCAAACTCAAACCTGGAACCTTCTTGGTGTGAGGTGGCAGTGCTAACCACTGCGTCACCATGCTGCCCTGCTGCAGTTATTATTCTTTACATCTTAAAAAAGGAACATTTGGTGGCATGTCTAAGTTATTGATAATAGAGTACTCACAAATGTTCTTTGTATCACTTTAGCCTTCTGCAGCAGATCAGTTTGTTCCACTGATGTATTCTTACATCAGTGGATAGTGGATATGCAGGCTTCGGCCGGTTTTCTTACTGTATTTCAGCCTCCAGGGAGTGTACTAGCTAGCTGTCAGAGATAATAAAAACCACGAAGACCATGAAATGACTCAGAGTATGTGCAGCTGATATTAACACATGTTTTTTTCTCATTCTTATTGTCAACACAGAGAATCTTTGCCTGTGGCTAGAGGCATAGCTCTTTAAAAACAAAATGTCGTCAGGAACGAGATAAGTTATCATAAACTGTTTAGTCCTGTGACGATCACCCTTTACCTCCTGCTCTTGATGATGGTTTTAAAGTAAAACTGAAAGCTTGAAACTAGAACAATGCCTCTGTCCTTTTGGGAGTATAGCTTCTCTTACTGTGTTTGTTTTTAGTATTAATGGATCTCTTGGTTTTAGTTGAATACTGTAACAGAGAAACTGCTGCGCAGGGGCAATGATTAGTCCTGTATGAGCAAGGGTAGCATGACCACAGTTAGACAAGTCCATCCACAAGCTGTATGTATTCATTTTCCAAATGAATACATAAACATAAATGCCACATTTTTAACATATTTTCAATTTTTTTTTCACAGTTTGAGGTTTGAGTTATTTTAGTTTGCTCTCTTCTTCTGCAGTGGTTTTATGGCACCTGACTGAAAAGCTGTTTCAGGGACATCCTCAATTTGCATACAGGTAGTGAAAAGAAATGCACATTCATTCCAATTAATTTTGCACATGTTCTCAAAATTCCGGTAAATTTTGCACCACATTTGGATGGAAGCCCACTTATTGAGCCACCATCCACAATACCAGGGCCCTGAAACACCTGTGCTTTTGCTACTGTGACAGGTCACAATGTCTTCTGTGAAAAAGGCCTAAATGAACAATACTGGCATGGTTCATTCATTAAAGTCCCTACATATTTGTGGTACTCCCACACAGGTTATTAAACATTTTCTCAGGACAACATGGGTTTGAACACCAATAGCTTTGTTGAATTGTTAGCTTGATAAAACTTACACCCTTTTTCTGTGTTCTCATAGTTTGGTTCTCATAGCTTTGCCCCATCCAGCGTCAACCTGAAAAGACAGTCCCGAGTAAATCAAAACACTTGTATAGGTGTGCAGAATAATGAATGGAATACACAATATTGGATGGTCACATTAGTCAGAGTATTTTAGTAGAGTGAGTAACAGGCTGTTCCTGATTAAACCTGCAGCAAAAAGGTTGTGGACGAATGCCCAACATCTCAGTGTGTGTGTGTATGTGGAGGAGGGGGTCTCACTTACAAAACTGACTGACATGGTGCATCATGCACGCTGGCATGCACGCACAGGATGGTGCATGCATGCCAGCGTGCATTGCTGGGCTCCTCAGGAGTGCTTGCAGGCCAACTGAAGAGAGAAGGAAAAGCAGCTCTGCTCTGCACCATATGCCAAATATGAGTCTGCCTGCCAATTTATGGGGGGATACTGGCAAGTGCTAGCAAGGCTGAATTCTTGACAGAGGGAGATGAATAATTGAACATGTGTGGAGTGAAGTTCTGTTGGGATAAAGTAGGGTGCCTTTACAGTTGGAGGGGGGAACGGAGGCAGTCGGGCTGGATGCAAGCAAAACTATCATTTAGATAGTGGTGTTTGCTTCTTGTAAACACGTCAAAAAGTTTAAGAGATTTTAAGATGAATTTCAATAGATTTATGGTCAGACATGAGTGGAGGGGTGGGGGTGGGGGCACATCTCATTGCCATTTATGCATTTTAATCACAACAGCTATAACCAAAAAGGCCAAAAGTGGTCATCGATCAAAGTTTGCACTGCAGCCACTCAGAAAACTGGGAAGATAAATATACATACTGAGAAATAAAGGAGGTTTAAAGAAAAATCTGTGCAACATAATCAGTTTTGTGGAGACATTTATTCAAATGGGGTATGCATTTTATATCAAAATTTTAATAATTTAGCAGACCCTTTAATCCAGATCAGCCTTCAGTAAATGCAACAGTAAAACCTCTCAGACATGTAAGAACTTACATCAGACCAGTACTTTAACTCGGTGTCCTAACAACAAATATTGATAATTACTGAATATTTCATGAATGTTGAACTTTTTCCAAAGGAATTATATATTCTATATATTTTTATTTCATTTAAGGCATGTGCATTATAGGCACATGGTTGGTTTCTAAATTATTTCAAGGAAAGGTACAAAAAGTAACAAGAGATGAGAAGAGTGTTGTTTAGTACAAAGTAAGTCACTAATGCTTTTGGCATGTTGACGCAGATTTACCATAAATACATGCTGTGGCTGAGAAACTAAAATGACAGCTTTGAAGTGGTGATTGCAGGCTGTAAGGCATTTCCCCATATGTCCCATATGGTAAATGTTGTTTTGATCCCATTTCATTTGGTGTCATCATTTGAGGAAATGTGTCATTTATCAGCTTATCGGCAAATGCTGACTGACTGTTGTAGATTTATGTCTGCTTTGAGTTCAAGCAACGCAAACAATAGTCTGCAGTTGTGCTAGCAGCTCTGTGCATTGGTAGTTTGTCACAGCAGTGCTTTGTGCTAAATGCTAATGTAAGCATGCTAACATGCTTGCAATGACAATGCTAACATGTCAATGTTTATCAGATATAATGATAATCATGTTCATCATCTTACAGTCTGTTGGCATGCTGACATTTGCTAATCAGAGCTAACACAAAGTACAGCTGAAGCTGATTTGTTGTGCAGATATTTGATTTTAAACAAAATGTGGACAATTTAAATATTTCATGTGATGATGCAAGTGTTCCATCATCACTTGAGCATCAGTGTGTGCACTGACTTTCATGGCAGCCTAAGTACCTGCCACAAATGCCGATATAGCCAGAGAAAAAGTCAGAACACAAACATCTACACAACATTTAGGGAATTTCCAAACAATTATTCCTGAAATATTTCAGTCCAAACATTACTGGTGGATCAACTAACATTACCATTGCTAGAGCCAAGCCACAGGTGTAGCTAAAAACTGGTACAACTTGATTCCTCTCAGTATTTGTCTTTGACTGCTATACAACATTATCATTTTGCTCATTACCATTTTAAACTACTCCTGAGACAGGGTGGGCCATTAGAGAGCCTTTTTACTTTTGTCTGTTAATATTCCCATTACTGGGATTCATGATAATGTGGGATGTCCTGAAACAAGGAGCTCATGGAACATGGAGCCCTGGTTCATCGAACCAGGGTTGGTATTATTCAGCTTTAAGTTTTTCAAATTTATAAAGTGTAAGCTATAAATGCAAACACCAAGCTATAGGAATCAGTTCTGATAAAATCTTACTAAGCATCTTAGCTGGAGGACACTGGAAGGGCAGGCAACTAGGAGAGAGATGTCAAGAGCCTCCGTGGCCGCCTCTCCTCTGCCTGTCACCCAGCTCTGGTGCCAAGGTCTGAATATTTACCGCCCACAACGATGTACATAAGTGTGTGCAATGCGCATATGCAATATCCTGCAGTTCTCTTGTGTTTCATTGAGTGAGCCTAAGAACAATATAGACATCACAACAAGTGTTTGAGGATAATGATGAATCCCAGTGCTTGAGGCAATGACAGGAAGTATAAATAAAAGAGAAAACAAACTGTATTCTGGTTAAGTGGTGTTGCTTGGATAATAGACAGAGAAAGATGTGGGTGACTACACAGTTGTGACAGCAGATTTTCCCAAATAGTACCATACATTCTGTATATGTCACTGTCCAGCTATTGCCTCCGACTTCCCATTAATCCTGAGAAATTGATCTGTTTTGTTGTCTTGTTTAATGGTGACTTTAGTTGTGCAATGCCACTTTTCCTGAAACGTATTATGTTCTAATCATTGTCTTCACTCTCCTTTCCCCTTGCCCTTTCCCTCCCTCTCTCTGTCTCTCTCTTTGTGACAGATACCACCCTCTCCAGTGAACGTGGTAAGTACCGCAGCCACACATTTCCTTGATTTAGAGCCATCTGTGCATGGACTCTGCCAGCAACAGCTGATTGGCTGTTTGTGTAGATGTGGAAGGAACCATTCACAAATGTTGATCTCAGTGGGGGAGCGCTGAGCCACAAACATCAGGAAGCTGTTTTTCCTTAGCATCACATTGCATGTCAAGGCAAATGTTGCAGCAAGGAGAAAAACACCAAGTGAAGGCAATTATGAAAGCAGCATCCACAGACCCATGTGGCCAATCAGCATTTGAATTTAGCATATTTTCCCTGCATGCATTTTGCATCGACCTACTTAGTCAATTTACCCCCTTTTGACTCCAATAGTATTCAATAAAGAGCCAATAATGAGTATCTTTTTCACTTTGTCTCATTTCTGCCTAATAGAATGCATCTCCATATAGTCCAAATAGAAAGTAGATGGATTCCCCCACTGTGGCACGCACTCTTAGTTTTATTTTGGTTTTGACTCCCCTCTGTTGTGCTGCTATTAATGGCTTCCTGTGCTTGGAGGAGCACTTTAATCACCTCATCAAACAGGTTAAAAGAGAGAGTCCATCTGCAGTACTGGATGGATTTATATCTTTATTTTGCATGTGTGTGTATGTGTGGTCCGGCCAGACATCTGGTTTACCCCTCTAGGCAGCATGAGAGCACCTGTGTCAGTCAGTTCTATAATACTACTTAAGGCCCCCTGTAGATGTTTCCGCTGTACATGTCAGGAGCCAAGAGTTTCGGTATGGCAAAGAGAAGAAGAGATTTTGCTGAACTCGCTCTTTGTCCAGTGCTCTAAGTGGGCTGGCACTCTCCGGTACGCAGTATTGGCACTACATTTTACTCTTTGGTGTACCAAGATGTTTTCTTGTGAACGAGCACTTCTAACAAGCTGCCGGTGCTCTCTTCAGCCCTCTGCATGGACTCGTTTGAGATGCATGTGGACGAGAGCAGGCGCCATACAGCTCCACCAAAAAACATCTAAGCTCCCTCAGAAACAACAAAAATTCAAGTTCCACAATAATCAATAATCATATTCAGCTTTATTATATCAATTGTAATCGTAAAACAAACTACATGCAAATTAAATGTAAAAACAATACAAGTTTGAAACTCCCTGTCTTGATTGTCTTTTTTCTGTCCACTTCTTGGATTGTACTATTTCCACTCCCTAACATGAGTCATCTCCTGGCAGTGGAGTTGACACAGATCAGACCAGTGAGTCAACTAACCCCTCCTCTCCATACTCACCATAAAGACATGCCATGTGTTTTTATTAGTTAGGGTACTGGATGTTAAATGTTATTTGTTATCTATCAGTGCTGACACACTGGTGTTAGAAATTGGTGGTAAGGTAGAGTAGGCTATGTTAGTGGCCAAAACACAATGGAAGCTCGTGGGCTGGAAATGTGAATGAAGTCACTCACATGGACTCGTCACAATGTCGTACACGCCTACAACATTTCACCTGCAATCCCTCACCCCCTGACCCTTGTGTTAAAACACAGCGTTTTTGCCAGATCATTGTGAATTTAGAGTAGGGGGGGCACAGCCACTGCCAATCACCCCCTTAAATTCAAGCACTGCTTAGGGGTGAAACTGTGGAAACTGGTGAAACTGGTGTGGTGGCATCACAGGCTGCAGACAAATCATCACATGCTGAGTGTCTGGTCTTTGAAACCTCAAAGTGATGGGGTTTAAGAGAAGTGTAAAGCTGTGGTTTAGATCAAGCACTTGAGGTTTAATTCTGTGAGCCTGGTTTACCTCCATCTGCTGGTGGAGGAGATGCTGATACACAGCAAAGAGCAGCTTGTGTGATCAATTTTTCATTGCCAAGCTAGCAAGAGTGTGGGGTTTGTTTAGATCTAGTTACAGTCAAACAAAGAGTAGGGAATAAAAAGTCACAATAGGCAAATGTTTGTATCCATTCTGCGTGTTATCCTTTATTTTGACCTCATATCTGCATTTCTTAACCACACCCCCACCACTACCACACACACACACACATACCCCAGCCCCCATTAAAACATACACAAGTTCTCTGTGCTCCCACACCTGCCTTCATTTTCTGTTCTGCTGAGTATTCGCATAATGTAAATGATATGCCACGACAAAATGCAAAAAAGAGGAAAGTAAAAAGTGGATGAGAGAATGAGGGAAGGCAGTGTTAGGGCAGAGTCTGCAGGGAGCCCTCCAGTAGCTTATCACTCATCAGAGCATCCACTTACAGTATTAAATTTCCATTTTCATACATGTGCATGTGTGCTTAAGGAAAAACATAAACATGCTGTATATACCTGCAGTGCAGAACAGTACTTGAGCTTCCCCTGTGTGTCTTCCTGTGCTTAACAAGCTCCTCTCTGCCCCCTCTGCAGAGATGGGGTGTGTTTGGAGTCGTCTGAAAGGCCTCCTCAAAGTGAAGTGGCTGGGGGCTCTCAGCTTAATTGGCTGTACCTGAGGCAGGAGGGCAAGGTGTAATTGCGATAAGGGAAAACGCTGTGCTTGGCTGGTTTTAGTGCCCTTATCTATAATCTCTGGATTGATTATGGTTTTTCTGACAGCCGTGCAAATTGTTCAACCCCATCAACTGCAATGGAAACAACCTTAACTCTCTCCTGGCCAAACCACAGCACACCTGGGCAAGCAGTAAACTGGATGGTACATGTGCTAGGTTACAATGTTCTAACTATTGGCTTTCAGCACCAATCTTTCCTGACTGCGTATGCTCACAACTGTTACATACGTTCTGTTTTTTCCTAAAGGTAACAGGGGTTGTATTAGACAGCATGCTTACAGCAGTTGGCTAGCACTGTCTGTCACCTCACTGCAAGTGGGTTCCAGGTTTGAAGTTTATGACTGATGTGAGTGTGAATGGTTGTCTCTTTCTGTGTGTGTCAGCCCTGTGATAATGTGGTCTATAATGAATATAGAACCCTGAAATGTTAAGGTAAGATGTACAGTATACCTGCCTGTCATAGCTTAAAAGATGATCCAGATCCAATGCAGATCACAGATTTTAGGACATATTTAGTACTGTTCCGGATCTCATTTTTCACAAGGGATCCATTTGCATGAGCGAATGTTGTGCCTTGGCAGAGGTACATGCACTCTCTGAGTGCTCATTTTAACTGGTTTTGAGTAGTGGCTGGGGCTGAAGGAGCAGCTATTGGGCTGGGAAATGCATCCAAACCTCAAGCAACAACAGAAGCAAATGTGTCAAAACCCTTCTCAACACAAGCAGCAAAAAACCCTGGTGGTGCAAAGAGAAGAAAAGTGGGGATCCCTGCTTTCTCTTAATGTGTCAGAGAGACCGTTACTGTCATCTTAATTATAGTGAAAATTTCCTAGCCACATTGGTGAAATGGTGCAGTTGTCTACTGGAATAGATGGGACTGCGCCATTGGCTTCACTCTATAGAGTTTCCTTTTGCTATGTAACACATGAACCTGAACACAGCTCATCTGTGTTCAAACATTTGCAATTTCATTTGTTCCGACTGAAGAACAACGCGCTTAGTAGTGAAAATTCAAGACTCAGGGATATTGACAGGGCAATTTTAGCAAGACAAGTTGATTTACTTGAGTAGGACTTGGGAGCTATAACTCAAGGTGAATTTTTTACAGCCTGCCTTATTTATGCTAATTTGAATGTGTTAATTTGAAGAATAAACAACTCTTAGCATTTATGTGTTTTATTGTACAAGCAGATAATGTTAAAAACAAAATCTGTGCAGAGATATTGACAGTATTAAGGGCCTGTGCCAAGGAGGAGCTGGGTTCAGTGCCATTCTTGATCAATCACAAGCAGTTTTCTCTAAAATGTGGTGAAGTGTGCAGCCCCTTCTGCTTCTCTTCCCCCTCAGTACCAATTAAAGCTGTTTTTCTGCAGCAGATCTTGAGCTGATGAAGACAGCCACTAAGAGCTCTTGAAGTAAAGTCGCACAGGACCTGTATGGCAGATGGTTTGTGCAAGAGTATGTGCAAAGAGACAAACCAGCAAAGAAGGAAACAAACAAGCATAAAAATGGCAGCCTGTCCTCCAGTGGGAGCTCCTGTTTTCTACTTACCGTTTCCAAATTTTCAAACTTTTCCTCAAAAATGTTTCAAATCTGCAGGAGACCAGGGAAAACATAGGACCTTGTTTGGTGGAAAATTTTTGCACACCATCTTCTAAAAACTATCAATACAACTTAAGATAAAAACTGCTGGGAATTGCTTGATCTCATTACTTTGAACAGCTTTCCCAGCTGAACGGAAATGAGCTTTGCTGCAGCCTGTTGCTACAAAGCCCTAGAAGGCAGAGAGTCCAGGCACAGAGGACAGTGCTAATGGCTTCAATTCTGGCTTTCCTCAGTGGATTACATGTTTCAGATGATCAGGCTTGATCAGTAGTTTTCTCTCTTTTTGTGATGCTGATGACAACAGGCAAGAAACTTACTGGAACCGCTGGCTTTGTGCTGCTGTTCAGGGCATACACAAGGGAAAATCGAGATCATACAACCTGCCAGTAGTTTTTCAGGGTCACAACACTTCATCGTGGACTGCCTTCCTCCTGTGGTCACTTCGTCTTTAGTCCTGTTTGTTTCTTCTGTAAAAGCACATGCTGCCAACTTTTATCATTATATAAAGAATTAGAAAAATTAAACATCACCTACTCTATCTCTGCACCTGCTTACATCTTCATATTGTGCAGGTATTATTTCAGGCATGGTGTATACCTACCACTTAGTTCACACTTCATTTTAACACCAGTACAGGGACTAATGAAGCCACATTTCCTGGGATTAATCATACCAACATTATGTTACATTAGGAGGAACAGGAAATGGCAAAGCATACTTTAGTATCTCTCTCTTTCATCATGTGGGAGACTTTGCCCTCTCCTGCTCTCCCTCCATCCCTTTATATAGCACTCCTTTCTGCTCCACTCAGTTAAGGCACATCCGTCCCATCTCTCAACGACAAGGCTGGTTGGCACAGTAACATTA